TTGCTTCTAAAATGATCTCTTTAACGGTCATTTTATGAGGTAGAAACAATGATAATGTAATCAGATGTGACAAGAACTTGGCCGTTCCAAAAAGGAAATTATCAGTATCATTTTAAATATAGCTTGTCATGCCCTATCTTTAATGACTCATTGTCTATCACAGAATCAAAATCAACTCTAGATATTTTGAGCAGAAAGGGACTTAATGCAGGGAGTTGGTTATAGATGATTTATGAATACAAAATGGAAGGGCTGAAGCTGCAAAAGGGAGAAGGGGGGTCGTTACCAAAGATGAGGAACCTGCTATAGCAGGAAGTGCTCCTGCAATACAAAAAGAAAAGAAAAGAATCTCCCTTTCTCCTACTTTTATTCTTCCATTGGCAGAACCCCAGCTGGAAACCAGCTAGCAAGGAAATCTTGAAAATGTGGACACCACCACCACGGCTGGAGCTGAAGGCTTATTGCAAATAACTGGCATGGTGACCCTTGACCTTTGTGGGTGTTGTACCTTAAGTTATATTAGGTATTGCTGGTACAAAGTGTCAACTTAAAAAAAAAATCACACAATTTATAAATTTAGAAAGGAGAGCTTTATTTCTTAGGAAGAAGATTGAAACCTTCAGGCCGGAAGCCCAGCCTCCGGCCAAAAACTGAAAGCAAGCACTTCCAGGGAGGGGAGGGTGGAACAGAAATTTATGCTGAACGGGTTGACTAAGTATACACATTCAACAAGTTACAGGAGGAGCTGTGAATATTCACAAAGGAGGTCTTAACACATGTACTGAGTAAACATGTATGTTACATGCCTCCTGTGTTCACTATGGAGTGGAGACTTAACATTTAAATGTATTACAATTGGGCTGAGTCAGCTGATATGTAAGATTCCTTCCAACTCCTTCCATCTTTGAATCTAAGTAAGGGTACTTCTGTATGTGTGTTTTCGTTGAATTTGTGTACTTCCTCATCTAACCTGTGTAAATTTCACAACATTCTTGTATGTATTCTATAGTCTTTTATAACCTTTCTCATAAGGAATCCCTTTTCTCATAAGAAATCATGTCCTCTGTTGTCTAGGTATTGTTTCTCAACATTGGCTGTACACTAGAATCACCCAGCAAGCTTTTTAAAAAAGAAAAATACCTCCAGAGATTGATTTAATGTGGACACCAACTATCTTAAGTTTTTTAAGCTCCCTGGGTAATTCTAGCATGCAGCCACTGATCCAAAGA